TCACAGCGCAGTTCCTGCATTGGTAAGTTGGACAACTTGCTTACCCCCACCTGCAACGCTGGGAAGTAAGTACATAACTTGTATGTGACCCATGTTGAACTTCGCGACATCACCGTCATTTCGCCGGAGGAGGGCAAAATGTGTTTACGCGTGTGTGTGTGTGGCATTTGGCTGTTGGCTCCGCAAAGTTGAGCGCAATTCTTGCGACTGCGTCTCGTACATACTGGCTCGCGACTGCGGTGTCACATCTCCAGTTGACGGGAACGTGTTGCATTTGGATTTGGCTATTGTTCGTATTAGAAGCAACGCAGGTTGGTGTTATGGCGGTCGGCACATGTGTAAGGAGTGCGTGGAAGCAGAACGTTCAACGTCCTCCTACTTCTGTTCCTCCTCATCCTCATATCCCTCCGCCTCTTCTGAATCCGACTCCCCATCTCCCCACCCCCTCCTCCCCTTGAGCCGGCTCCTTCAGGAGTCGCATCCGAAGGAGGAGGAAGGGAAGGATCAGCGAGCGGGTCAGCAAATCAAATTCCATGGCGATCGTTTACCGACTTGCTGCCCAAGATTTGCAATTAGAGAAAAGGTTGGGGGAGTAGGAAGAAGAGGAGGAGGAGGAGGCGGGAGGGAAAGATGGAATTCCCCTTTCTTCTCCATCTTCCTGGTTTTCGGTCGCTTCCACCTCTGGCACATCCTTCTGGTTCGCTTGGTCAAACACCTCCACTTCCTCATCCCCGGCCCGGAAGGACCGCGCCATGAGACATACGGTAACTTTACAGGAGATTGAGTGGAAGGTTTTGTGTGCCTTTGCCATCTCTCTCTTTGATCTGGTCTCGTTACTATTGTTCCCCCTTCTCAAAGCAGGGGAGAAGGAGGAAGGGGGAGAAGAGGGAGGAGCTGGAGGATTCTGATGATCCCGGTTTCCTTGCGCTACCCAGCCCATGCGGTTGTAGCATTATGTTTTCTCGGATTCGGTATTTGATATGTTCATTTGTGGGTTGAATATTTATTTCTGGCCGCTGGAGGTGATGTCACACTTGCTCGCACGAAGCACACCTTGTATAGCGCGCAATCAGTGAGATACGATTCGATCCCAAAGAGAACAGGTGCTATTGTTCCTGCCTTTCTTCCTGCTCTGCTTTGTTTCCTACCACCCCGCCGCAGCACAGCAGTGGTTTTTGGCAGGTGTGGCAAGGGTGTCGGCGTATAGCCTGCGCGCGTCGCACACTTGGCACACATGGCGCGGCTGGAATGTGTTGCGCACGTGGAGCACTTGGCGCATCTGGTGCACTAGGCGCGGTTGGCACACGTTTGCCCTTGACGCTCTGGAAACACCCAGTACACCTCGCGAAGGTCGCGCACTTGGAGTCCCTTGGTAAATAATTCCCAACGACTGCCCATCCGATGGCGATTCCTGTGGTTGCTGAGTGTCGGTTGACGCTGATATGGTGGGAGGGCGAGGCAACGTGCGGCGTTCCCGTTCGGAACCTGACCCTAATTCAACATCTTCCCGCACCACGTAATCGACCAGAGTTAACGAGCATCTCAACCATCACCCATGCCACAGTAACAAATGGCGCACGGAGCGGCACACACTAGACAGCAGGCGGGCATCCCGTTCACTTTGCAGCGGCATTTGGCAAGGGCGACGAACGCGCCCACATGTTGTCTGGACGTGCGGCGGCATGTACGCACATCCGCCCCCACAGGGACGGATGAGTGGTTGAAATGTTGGAGCCCCATTGACCAAATATGCGCATCATCACCACCAATTGCTTGGAGGTGACAGGGGGTGGAGAGGGTGAGGGCAGAGAGATAACAGTTGTTGGTGTGTTTGCGTGAGAGCGGGCATGTTGCTCCATGTTTGCCGCCACGTGTGCTGATGCACGTGGCGCTCGCGGCGCGCCTGGCGCAAGTGACGCATCTGACGCGCGTGCGGGGGGGGAGGCATGTTGCGCACCTGGCCCGCCTGGCCCGCCTGACGCACGTGGCGCATCTGGTGCGCGTAGCGTACCTGCACACGGGACGGTGACCGTTGCTTATGTTGGGTTCCCGTGATTCTGATATGTCGGGAGCGTGGGCGGCAATGAGCGAGACAGACAGTTGGTTGTCATCACTTGACTGTATCCAAAGCTGTATCCTACCCCCAAAAAAAATAGCCTGGCGAAGGACCCAACCATATGCAGCTGCGAGTACCGCACGGATATGAGACGAAGGAGGGGGCACGCAAACCAGGCCCCTCTTCTCATAGGCACCGCGCCACTGGGGCCTTCGGTGGAGCTCCCCATGGGGCCACGAAACGTGTGAGGGGTGTGCCGAAATGTGTGGTGGGGAGGCATGCGAACCCTGCCACTGGGGCCTTCGGTGGAGCGTCCCTATGGGGGTGGAGCTCCCTATGGGGCCACGAAACGTGTGAGGGGTGTGCCGAAATGGGTGGTGGGGAGGCATGCGAACCCTGCCACTGGGGCCTTCGGTGGAGCTCCCTGTGGGGCCACGAAACGTGTGAGGGGTGTGCCGAGATGGGTGTGGGGGGCATGCGAACCCTGCCACTGGGGCCTTCGGTGGAGCTCCCTATGGGGCCACGAAACGTGCTGCCGAAATGGGTGTGAGGGGTGTGCCGAAATGGGTGGCGGCATGCGAACCAGCCACTGGGGCCTTCGGTGGAGCTCCCTATGGGGCCACGAAACGTGTGAGGGGTGTGCCGAAATGGGTGGTGGGGAGGCATGCGAACGCAGCCACTGGGGCCTTCGGTGGAGCTCCCTGTGGGGCCACGAAACGTGTGAGGGGTGTGCCGAAATGGGTGGTGGGGAGGCATGCGAACGCAGCCACTGGGGCCTTCGGTGGAGCTCCCTATGGGGCCACGAAGCGTGTGAGGGGTGTGCCGAAATGGGTGGTGGGGAGGCATGCGAACGCAGCCACTGGGGCCTTCGGTGGAGCTCCCTATGGGGCCACGAAACGTGTGAGGGGTGTGCCGAAATGGGTGGTGGGGAGGCATGCGAACCCTGCCACTGGGGCCTTCGGTGGAGCTCCCTATGGGGCCACGAAACGTGTGAGGGGTGTGCCGAAATGGTGGTGGGGAGGCATGCGAACCCTGCCACTGGGGCCTTCGGTGGAGCTCCCTATGGGGCCACGAAACGTGTGAGGGGTGTGCCGAAATGGGTGGTGGGGAGGCATGCGAACCCTGCCACTGGGGCCTTCGGTGGAGCTCCCTATGGGGCCACGAAACGTGTGAGGGGTGTGCCGAAATGGGTGGTGGGGAGGCATGCGAACCCTGCCACTGGGGCCTTCGGTGGAGCTCCCTATGGGGCCACGAAACGTGTGAGGGGTGTGCCGAAATGGGTGGTGGGGAGGCATGCGAACCCTGCCACTGGGGCCTTCGGTGGAGCTCCCTATGGGGCCACGAAACGTGTGAGGGGTGTGCCGACATGGGTGGTGGGGAGGCATGCGAACCCTGCCACTGGGGCCTTCGGTGGAGCTCCCTATGGGGCCACGAAACGTGTGAGGGGTGTGCCGAATTGGTGGTGGGGAGGCATGCGAACCCTGCCACTGGGGCCTTCGGTGGAGCTCCCTATGGGGCCACGAAACGTGTGAGGGGTGTGCCGAAATGGGTGGTGGGGAGGCATGCGAACCCTGCCACTGGGGCCTTCGGTGGAGCTCCCTATGGGGCCACGAAACGTGTGAGGGGTGTGCCGAGATGGGTGGTGGGGAGGCATGCAAACCTTGCCATTGGGGCCTTCGGTGGAGCTCCCTATGGGGCCACGAAACGTGTGAGGGGTGTGCCGAAATGGGTGGCGGGGAGGCATGCGAACCTTGCCACTGGGGCCTTCGTTGGAGCTCCCTATGGGGCCACGGAACGTGTGAGGGGTGTGCCGAGATGGGTGGTGGGGAGGCATGTGAACCTTGCCACTGGGGCCTTCGGTGGAGCTCCCTATGGGGCCACGAAACGTGTGAGGGGTGTGCCGAAATGGGTGGTGGGGAGGCATGCGAACCCTGGAGGGAGGAGGGCGAGGAGGAGGAGGAGGAGGAGGAGGAGGAGGAGGAGAGGAGGAGAGGAACGCGGGGCACCGTCTCTTCAAAACGAGGACCCAACACCACAGGATGGTTGGGAAATATGTCAGTCCCCCTTTCCCCGTCCTTCATGATCATTGTCACCCTTTCTCTTCTCGTCCCCCGTCCTTTCCACCTCTCCTTGCTCCGCCCCGCGCCTCCTCATCCTCATCACCATCATACTTCTCACGAGGTCGTCTTCGTTCTTATCGCACCAGGGCCAAGCCCGCACAGGAGAGTGACTATCTCTCGCCGCCCTTGACCTTTCGAACTGCATGCCCCAGCGGCCGCGGATCGATCATACTCCTCACCATACCTCATACCTTCGATATCTTTCAGACCCTTCCATAATTGTGGTCCTCGCCATTCTTATCCTCATCCGCACGACCCAGGCAAACGACCCCCGCCGAACACAGCATGCGTATGTCGAACACACTGGCGCGAAGTACTGCACAAGTGCACGCTAAGTACGGTGGACAGGCCAACCCCTTAGTCATCTCAATCGCCATCCTCTTCCCCAAAGCCCGTTCCCGCCGCATCATTGCCCATCATTTCTCGCGTCCTCCTCGGCTTCCCCCTCCTCTCTCGCGTCCCCTCCCCCCGCGCCCTCGGCGTGCGTGGCCCAGGGAGGAAGAAGATCAATGAATATGGTGTTCTCTTTCGCTTGGCGTGTCTGTGCAGAGCACGCGGACAGGGAGTTTGAGGAGGAGGAGGGGGAGCAGGAGGCGAAATCGGAGGAGGAGGAGGAAAAGAGGAAGAAGAGGTGGAGGAGTTGTTTGTTTCCTGTGGACGGCTGCATGCTAGGCTCAAGACTGGACTAACAGGCAGGCTGAAGAAAAGCGGGTTTGGGCCGAAAGGGTTGGAAGAAGAAGAGCACCGAATAATATGCCCAAAAACCCGTGCCGATAAGACCGTTCCGAAAGAAGAACAAGCCGGGACGAACAGCACGCAGAGCTTCAAGACTCAGTCGACGACCGTTGTCGGAAATAGCCCAAATTCTTGAGCTTCTCCTTCAGGTCCTCTCCCAGGCTCTCAAAGTCCTCCTCGAAATACTCCCGCCGCTCGGAAACGGGCTCCTCCACGCCGGCAGCGACGTCAGGCAGAAGCTCCTCGGTCTCACCATCAATCTTCTCGAAAATGCCACCTGCGCACGGCTCCACATGAGCCTCAGGCTCAACACGAGCCCTCTCCACCTCCTTCTTGTTATTATTTTTCTTCTTGAGCTGTTTCTCGTACGCCTGGCCAGGCTCGTTCATCGTGCCCTCGGGTTCGGTGGCGGAGGCAACCGAACTGCCGATGAAGAACTCCTCGTGGCGCTGCTCCTCGGAGGCGTCTTCGGGCACTTCACGACCTGCGCGTACGGGTCGCTCATGTTCGGGTCGGGGTAGGTCCACCTGCCAGGCGGCGGTGGCTGCGGCGGCACGGGCAGCCTCGGACGCCCTACGGCCAGTGGGACCTTCTCCTCCCTCATCTGCTTCTCCCTCATCTCCTTCTTTACCTTCAGCAACTTGTTCGACTGGTTCCACTTGTGCCTGATCCTCTTCTTCAGCCGCTCTGCGGCCTTCTTCTCCTGCTTGGTGAAGTTCTTCATGGAGTACTGGATCTTCGTGTCGTTGGTGATCTCCTCGGTCGGCACGGCTCTGGGCGCTGGCTTCGGCGGAGGCGGCAGCGTCGGCACGCTCAGGAAAGAGCCGTGGGATGCAACCTTCCTGCCAAGACCAGTCACCAGGTGCAACTCCTCCTGGGAATGCTGCCGCACCATAGGCGGAGGTCCGGGAATACGGCGGAACTTCCCATCGACCTTGAACAGGATAGTACTCGCTCCCAGCCGTGAAATAGGAGGCGTAGACGCTGTCGATGAAAAGGACATCGAGCTGACGATGAGGATGATCGAGATCAGCCAATCGTTCCAGCATCTCCGACGAAGCCAAGTTGACAGGAAGCAGAAATCGCATCCAAACCAAGGTCAGGGAGTAGATCCGATAAGCCTGCACTTCACCCCCGGAGGTCCAGGCCGATCTGCCTGAGAAACTCCAGAGGCCCTCAAGCCAGCACCATTGCGGGTACACCGGCAGGCCTCGCGCCCAAGCAAAGCGAGCTTGGGCCCAAGTGGCTTGAGAGAAGAGGTGGAGGAGGAGGTGGAGGAGGAGGAGAAGGAGGGGGAGGGGGAGGGGGAGGACGAGGAGGAGGAGGAGGAGGAGGAAGGACAGGAGGGCAGGAGGAGAGGGAGGGGAAACAGGGGTCTTTGGTGCTGGCACTGTGCTTCGCTGGGCGCTCCACAGCAAGGCCTGAGTCGACAATTGCCGCAGCGAGCGCCTGGCATGCCCCCTCCCCCCCCCTCGTCCTCTTCGTGGTCCATATCCCTCTCCTTCGTGTTCCTCTCTTCCTCCCCATCCTCCTTCCTGCCCCCCTGCTGTGCCCGCACTTCCCCTGCCCTGGGTCCTCGCCCTGATGCCCCGCCCGTCCGCCGAGCCAGGTTGGCAATGAGAGCCTGCGCCGCCGCGGAACAGCAACCGCGGGGGGCCAGACGGTTCGTTTGCGCCAGCGGCCGAACGGACAGAAGAGCACGAGGAGGGGCCAGGAGAAGGATCCAGAACACGAGGAGGAGGAGGAGGAGGAGGAGGAGAAGGAGGACGAGGAGCGGGCGGGCGGGCGGCTGGAGGACGAGGGGTAGAGGCACACTTTCCTCACCCAACCATGGCCTGGCGGGAAGGGGCCCTTCCTTGTGTCGTGCAGCAAGCACGGCTCGCTACTTCAGAGCAGCATGGTTCAACACGGCCATCCGCGTACTATGTTCATTAATGGCAGCCGCGACCAACGTGTCGGTGCGTGTGCGGCGTAAGACTGGCTTCCCACTCAGGGGCACAATCACCTGGCGATATTGATATATAGTTCTCGAGCGGATGCCGCAACCAAGGGATGGGGATAGCCATGATTGTTGTCTTGGTGTCGGCTTCCATATTAGCGACAGCCAGCGTTGATATGTGATCCGTAATTTGTTGTTTGAAAGTCGTTCTGCTCATCGCTCCGCTCGCGCGTCGGAAGCCCATCGAGAGCGAAAAGGCGACAAGGCGTAAATCAGTGAATGATGTACTTGTTCGAAGGACGTCGGGCTATGGGGGGGTACCCTTTGGAGTTATGACGCTATTTAGAGCCGTGTTTGGGCAGCTTGATGTCACGTTACGGCAGTTGGGGCCATCTTGCAGCCACGTTGGCCCGAGCGCCTCGCAAAGATGCCCCCGAGAGGCCGAAACCGTTCAAAACCCGAACGTGGTTCAATGATGTTGTGCATGATGGAAGGGGCTACTGAATTATCCATGCTTTAGGAGCCCGACGAATCGCGGCCAAGGGCATTCTTAGGACGCTATTGGGCACTCCTCGAGCCGCCTTGGAGCCTTGATGGGTCCGTCCTGGCGCTCGCTTGGCCTCTCAGAGCTATATTGAGGCCGCGGTGGCTTCTATCAGAGGCGAAAAGGCGATCAGGCACAAGTCGGGCAAGCACGCTAGATTGTTGAAGGAATTTCGCCTCTTGAGGGCATCCTGGGATCGGATGCCATTTGAAGCCCGCCTGAAAGCTGAGGTGGTTCAGAAGGCACCCCAATTTGGTGAAAACCATCGGGCTGCCTCGGGGTGGTCCTGGGAGGAGGCTCGTAATCAGCTCTGCCTGGTGACAATGGTTCGACCTCTGGGGGATTGCCTGAGGGAATGCTCGGGTCAGGAGTGGAGATACTTGGGGCGGGTATGGGAATAGGGTGGACAAATGGGCAAGGAGTTACGTTGGAGAGGTGGGGAGGGGTACGCGGGGGAGGCGGACCGTATAGCCTGGTAGGTGGTGGTGGTTGCAGTTGATGTCGTAATGGTTCCTGTGCTCGATGAGGTATCGGATATTGTGGAGTAAGTGCATCTCCACGCGCTTGCCTTCCGGTCCGCCGAGCCCCAAGAGTTGCAGCGCTTTGTCGATGCCGGGCGGTCCTGGATTCGAAGCTTCTCCGATACGTTGTCCAACACATGGTGTTAGGCGGTACAATGATAGATGGTATTGTATTGAATATATGTCGTGTACCCCAACCACACCGCCATAGCAAAGAGTAATATTGCAATGCACGGTCGTTTATGCAGACGCCGAAGACAAAGTTGGCATTGCAAATTGCACCATGCGTAATCGAAGCAAACCGAGACTAATACATTATGGAAGGTTATTCGCGCAAATCGTCCGTTGTACATCGTCGGAATTGCTGCTGCAAGTGGTGTAGTTGGAGTTGGTGCCGGAGTTGTTGTAAGATTTACTATCATTAGAGAGGTTTCCATCCCATCGATCGTTACGGTGCCCATTATCGTCAAAATCATCGTACCGCATATCTACGTAACCATGCTCATGATCATTGTCACCACCAGTAGTTGCACATTCGCACATAATCACATGCGGTGCCAGAGCCGTTCCAAGAACATACATACGATTCAGAGCCATGTGTGGGTTCGCAGTAGAGTTGTGTCGCCGCGCTGGCACACGGTCCGTCGTAATAAACCCGCTCTGTTGTAGTGTAACCCAAATGCCGGTGTCGTGGGACTTACCGTCGGTGCTGATGTAGGTGCCGTTGGTCGTGCTGGCGTCAGTGGAAGTATTGTCGACGCTCATGGAATTATTGGCATCGCCGATATTGTCGTAGCCGTACGTGTTGGCGTCGGCGTAGATGCGGGCATTGTCCGGGATAATGTCCGTGTTGGTGTCGGTGCCAGCGGTCTTGTTATGGTAAGCGCCCCCGTCGGTATCGCAAGTTTTGCCGTGATCGTCGGTAGCAGCATCGGGAATCAAAAGATGTCCGAACAATTTGTGCACGAATTGGAGCCTATCCCGAAGATTCTATATCATTGCTTCCAATATTGTTCAAATGCTTCGGAATTGCCCTAAACGACCCCCAGACATTATCGTGGCCTCCTTATCGGCTTTGTCAGTCTCGTCATTATTGTCACCTTTCTTCGCATGCGAACTGACGTTGGTATTTTCAAGATAAAGATCGCGACAACTTTTGTTAAGGTTGGCGTGCCACAGACTGTCCGTCGGAGCTGGACTCAGAAAGGGGATAAGTGGGCCAGGAGCTGGAGTCGGAAGATCAAATACGGAAGTGGGACATGTGATCGGACCCTATGTCGGAAAATCAATCTCGCGGCCATAGGCGGATCTATATCGGGAATTTTCGTGGAGTTTTATGTTGATGGTCCTGCTGTCGGAGGTTCTCGAGAAAATCCCGGAAGATCCTTCAGAAGTGCTATCTTTGGAACCGCCTCTGAAGTCAACATGGGAACTATGATTAGATTCTGTCTCGGGGGAAGGGAGGGCGGGCGGAGGAATGAGGGCAGGAGGTCTTGCCGTAAGCGTTGTTGTCGTAGGCGGTGTGGTCGAAGTTGGTATTGTTATCGATGCGCCCAATATGGTCGTATTCGGTACTCTTGTAGTCGCACACGGTGTTGCCGTAAGCTTAGTGGTTGTTGCCGTGGTCGTAGTTATTGTTGTCGTAATCGGTAATGCTGCGGCTGTGTGTTGTCGTAGTTGGTGTTGTCGTAGTCGGCAGGCGCCGCCGTTGGAGCCGTTGTCGGAACTGCAATGGAGGTCGCCTCCGGAGCCGTTGTCGGACCGGCTGCCGGGCTTGTCGCCGTGAAAGTTATTATGAGGGCTGCCTTGGGGGCAAACGTCGGAGCCCCAAGCTTCGCAGCCGCTGTCGCAACCACCGTCGGAGCCGCTGTCAGATATGCTGAAGCTGCCGTGGCGCCGCCGTCGGAACCGCAGTCGGAGATGCCGTGGGAGCAACCTTCGGAGCCCTCGGGGCTGCCGTGGGAGCTTCTTTGGCAGAGCTGTTGCCGGAATTGTTGATGTTGTTGAAAGCATGAGTACAATCATTGATGCCCCCGGCGGAACCACAAACGGTGATGTTGGTACGGGTGGCGCATGTTGGGTTTTGGGCCCACCAAGCTAGTAAGGAGCAAATCCTCTCCTTAGCCTCTGCCCTTCCCCAGGAAACCCAGCGGGAACTCTCGGCACTAGCCCAACCAGCTTGCGGGGACATTCGTGCCTGGGCCATATCGGCTAATGTTGGCGCCCCCCGCCGCTCGATGTGATGAATGACTTCAAGCTTCGCGGCATCTTCTTGATTCGCCGCAGTAGCCGTAACAGATTACAAGTTGTTTGGACTGCATCGGGCGGTGGTCGAATTTGACCTAAGTCGAATTCCTCATCTTCTAGCGGTAGTAAGACCCAACCTATCCAAAGGAATCTCATTATATCGTGAATCCATGCTGCGGGCCAGCGGCGAATTTTCCGATGTTCACGTCGATGAGACAAACTTCCCAGTGGACAGTCTGTACGTTATCGTAGATGATGGCGGTGTCTTCAAGGTGGCAAACCACGTACATATCATCGAAATATGCGGTAATTTCTGCTCCACGTGGCAATTGTGCCTGGATGCGGCGCAATGCAGGGTCGAGGGCGAGACAAAACAATGCGGGCATTAAAGCGTCGAAGAATTGAAGCAAAGATAACGGGGTCAAGGTTGGCAGCATTGTCAGAGACGATGTCATTCAGTGTTACTGGAAGTTGTTCCGATAATG